AAAATTTTACTAAGGATTTAGAGGTCAGACGAGACCTCGGAAACCAAGCCAGCCTGGTTAACTGGGCTCATGTGAAGAGGCCCTGATGCAATTAAAAGTGACTTTAGGAAATCAACCAGCCATACTTCGGCGATTTAAGTCAACTAACTGCAACTTAAGGTGAGTTCAGCCTACTCCCGGTATAAGGAGACTTTAGCTGATTTAATGGAACTACAGTGTATGGGCAATTTAAGATCAATTACATATTTTAAGGCCAATTTCTATACAGCATGCATGCTTTTAGACAATGACCTGGTTATACTAGGAAGCAAGCAGGCTACTGACTTAAAATAAATTAGACAGAGGAAGAGGGCTTACCTTGGGAGGCTAAAAGCACAACATGGGGAAACAGATGGTAGATACCTTAACAAAATCATTTGGGGGCCATAACTGGGTTTGGAAACTAATAATTACATGTAAGAGTAGTAGCTTTGGAAGGAAAAATATTTATCTTACAGAACCTGTAGTTTAATAACCATAACAAACCACTGCTTTTTAATATATACATCTAGTCTACATTCCATTAGATATGGAGAGGTGACCTCATCCGATTTTAGATAGTAGACCTGCAAATAAATAAACTTAAATATTGTTAACAAGACAGGAGGAACCATACCTTATAAATGGTGCTTTATATTATCCAGTCTATAAACTTTATTTCCTCAAAAACATTTCAAGGATTTCCATGGTTGGGCTATCTCAATGCTCTGTATAAGGTACACTGGGTAATAAACTCAACTGTACGTGAGTGCTTCCATCTTGAGCCAAGGAAAATTACACTCTCGGAGAATTTGACGAAGAACCACCCTTGTGCCATAAAAAGCAATAAAGGCATGTGTTACATGTTCAGAGAAAGTCAGCATCAAAACGCCCAGCCAACACTCATCAAAATGCAATATTGAATACTGACGAATAGAACGCCCTAGAGTAAACCAACATCGAAAATCCACGAACGGAACAAACCATTTTGCTCCTCTCCGGTCTGCAACATGCAAAGTACTCCTATCCTATCGCATATCTTGTTCTGTTAAATTAGCTGCCTCGTCAGTGTATAAATGTAAATCCCCGAGTCTATCTATTGGAAGTTAAAACGCCCGCCATTTTTGTTTGACCCATAATCCCGTTCGTTTCTTTGGCTGTGGGTACCAATCCCCACGTACATGTACGACTCACGCAAGCTTTCTTGCAAACCGACGCAGTCGTGATTCTGTACCTTGCAGTGTGCTTCTTCTTGATGCAAATGTCGAGTGGTAGGCTGTCTGTTGTCCTCTGTTTTCCCATTAGACATGATTAGATCGTCGAGAGCGAGCGTTTAGTCTTAAATCGAGAATCTATTATCTTAATCATTAAACGGGTAGCCATCTATAATTTATGTTCAAATCTACTGAGGGATTCCCGCCTCTCGCCTTATCAGTGGATTTGGAACTCTCTCCTTGGCTACAATTACACTTGAAAGCAAGATGGCCTTTCATGACAGTAAGTGCTCGATCTCAATGATCATACAGAAAAACATGAAACTGTGAACAACGTTTCAAGAGTGTGTGATTTTAGTCACACAATGCGCGTGGTCACGCACACGTGTAAATTTGGCGGCCAGATTTTCCATCAATGAAAGTCTATTCTCGTTTTCCTCAACCAAAACAACAACGTACATGGTGATAAGGCGTTTTCGAAGTAGGAAAATATTCTTTACAAGAAGAAATTGGCGACTTACTTGTACACCTACTCAGAGAGTGACAACATGCTGCACAAGTGTTGCGTGTGCTATTGCGGGATGAATACATGACTTGTATGTACTGAAGGTTGCCTCTGTCACACCTTGGTTGTATATTGGTTTTATATTTGAGCTTTCAACATAAAGTTGCCTTTTTCCAAGTCAGTTTAGTAATTAAGCAATAGAAAACGTTTTCCGTGTTTGCATAGCCTGATATAAACACGAGAGGGTTTGGGAGAATTCTCGACAGTTATGCAAACCCGAGACGAAGTCGAGGGTTTGCATAACTGTCGAGAATTCTCCCAACGCCTCGAATGTTTATATCAGGCTATGCAAACACAGGAAAAAAGTTTGCTATTGTTTTTATAAAAAAAAATTCCCGAGAAAAAACACAAAACTCTTTGTATGGCACAGATCAAAAGAGAAATTCTTACCAGTCACAAAGTCTTGTCCACGAAGTGTTGCACGCGTAATCAGTTCTTGTTTTGCAAAAAGATGCCTTCCAAAATACGGACTTTTCGCACTTAAAATGTCAGCTTAAGAGAAAAATAATTGACACACTTTCTTTGTAACAATTTTCCAAGTTTCAGCCGACGAAGGAATGGGTAAATAAAGTAAACTTGTCGAGTTTTGAACTTGAAAACTTTTTCAAATTCGTGCTTGAGTGATTAAGGCGCGAAAAGCAAAACATTTTGACGTCACGATCATGTTTACATACTCTCATGCAAACACTCCTCTCAGCCAATCAGAGCGCATACTATCTTAGTTATTTTATAAATTGTAATACATGATAGCAATTCACTTTAGTTAAGAGTTAACAAAAAAACAAACAAACAAAAAATAACTTTGATTTAATGCATATGTGAGTATGCAAAATTTTGTTCCCCTATTCTCCATAAATTTTGTTGAATTCCGTACATCCACAGAAAAAGTTCAAAATAAACTTTATTAATTCATGTTCTTTTACAATCTTTTATTTTGATGTGTTTTTATTAATGATATAGATAAACAGACAGTCTAAAGCAGAGAAAACATGCCAAAAATGGCTATTATGGAAATGTTAACCATCCCAGATAATTGATTGCCACTGGCCCAGTAACCAAAAATGCAAAGGTGACTGAACCATCTCTGCCTGTCATGGTCTTTCAAAAATTTTGTTAGAACCAACACTACCTTAAAATCCAGTCATTTACAGAACACATCATAATCAATTATCTTAATTTCTGTGTCTTTACATTCAGGTTGTCTCTACATATTTCAGTTTCCACTGTGATGTGGTACATGAGCATTCATCAACACCAAGCAGTCATTTGAGTGAAAACTTGTTGAGTGAGGACCAGGTTGGAATTAAATGATTTTGTATAACTTAAACAATGGGTTTGTTGCTACCATTATTAATATTGTCACTAATAAACTAATATCATGCTAAAGCTCCATGCAAATGGATGCAACATTGTTTGCCAACAGCTCCCAACATTGTTGGATGTTACATGTTGCGTCCAATTGCACACCCTGTTGCATGTTGCTGGGAATTGTTCTTGTGTCCCTTTGCACATAGCCTATGTGCAAAGGGACACAACAACTGTTTGGAGTTATTGGCCAACAATGTTGCGCCCATTTCGCCAGGGCTTTAAAGTTGTAATACTTTGTACAGACACATAGTCCACATACTTGTAGTTATTTTAAGCTAAGTACTCATTTGATCACATTTCTTTCTTCTTTCTTTCCTACCTTTCTTCCTTCCTTCTTTCTTTCCCTTATTCATTCA